ACAAAACTCCATTTATAAGTTGATTTTTAAATTAAAATCTTGGGACTACTTAAAGTATTTCACAATAAATGAAAATGTTTCCATTCATGGTTTTATTACTATCAAAGTTTTAGCTCCTGTGAAGACAACTGTAAATGACTTGTAAATTTTAACTATACCAAGTACCATGAATATATTCTATACAAACTACAGTAAATGTTAGCAGTGGGTGATTCTGACCAGTATTTTGAGATAACCTCACCTCAAACAAATGTACAGGTCCATTAGGCATGAAAAGCTATAATGATTCCAATCATATTAATCAGGAATTTTTTTATACACCTAATGCTTTTTCTTCAAAGGGAAGGAAAAAAAAAAGACCCAAGACAGTCTAACCATAAATATGCTCAACCTCTCAGTCTATACCGACTATAAACAATAAAAGGTAAAAAAGTTAACACTTAAATAATTGTAGGTGGCATGGTTTTTCTTTTGACAATTGAGGGGTCACCAGTTAGTATCACTAATGCCCTTACTGCCTGGAAAGCATTTAATCTCCACTAGTCAGTCTCTAAACTTAACATGAACCCATACTAAATATTCATTCTTTTCACAGTTCAGGGGCTGTGATAAAATAATCACATGATAAAATACCATAATTCAAAGTAACTGATGAGCCCATTCTGAGCCATCAGGCCATGTCCACAGCTGGTGAGCAGGGTGGAGATGGTGTGGTGACGCCAGGCTGGACATGCACTAATTCTGACTCAAAGGCAGGCAAGGGTCCCACTTTAAACCCTGGGCACCTGGATCTGCTTCAGCTGGCTGATAAGATAGCTTCCACCAGCTCTCTCCTTTTTTTGGAATCTCTTCTTAAATGATCTACCATTGTGTAAATTAAAATTTTTTCTTTATATCTGATATATTAAACATGTTCCACGTGAAATGAAATCCTATACTAATTCTGAATGAACAACGAGTAAATCCAAAATATTTCTAAGAAATTGAAGCGCTTTGCTTTAGGGCTTCCCTGGGCAATCAGTGGTGAAGAATCCACCTGCCAATGCAGGAGACACCCGGTTCGACCCCAGACCCAGGAAGATCCCACAGGCCGTGGACCAACTAAGCCCGTGGGCCACAATTATTGAGCCCACGTGCTCAAACCACCAAGTCCATGTGCAGCAACTACTGAGGTTTGCCTGTCCTAGAGCCGGTGCTCCCACTAGAGAAGACCACAGTGAAAAGCCTCTGTGCTGGGAGGGCAGCGCACCACAACCAGAGAGTAGCACCACTCACCAAAACGAGAGAAAGGCCCTCGCAGCAACCAAGACCCAGCACAGCCAAAAATAAAATATGCAAAGAAAAATTAAAAAAAAAAAAAAAAGCTTTGCTTTAAGCATTTTCAACATGGTCCCTTTTAGGCCAGCAGATGGAGCTGTGAATTAAAACAGGGAAGGCGCGCTGCTCTAGGTAAGCCACTAGAGGGTACCCTTTTTGAGGGAACTGGTTTATACCAGAGATTGATTTACAATCTAACTATCTGAAGCAGGAACTGATTCTGATTTACATGTGTTTATCTAGAACGACCATCTCCATACTCAGTGAATGCAAAGGCTGGGACCATTTTTGCTCAACATTTTTTGACTAAAACGTTTCCTTCCTCACAAAAGAATGATATTTCTTGGTAAGAGGCAGTAAATAGTAATAAAAGTTCATCACTGGAATCAGGGCAACTTCACAGTTATCATCAAAACTCTAAATGCAGAACTGAAATATACCACATTGCTCTCCATAAGCCTCAGAGCAGAGTCATCTAACAAGAATTTCCTTGGAAAATCAACCATACTGTCTACCGGGGAGCTCTGTCTTAGCTCAGGGAAGGCCCACATCTGTCTTTTGAATAAACAAATTAATAAGCACCATGGCTTTTAAGAGATGTATCCTAAAAAATTACCAGTGGGTTCATTTTTCTGTGAGACTTCTCAGACATGGCAAAAGTGCCAATCAAAAAGAATTCTGCCCCTCAGATATTTTATTTAGGTAATAATCTCTTATCAGTGCCATAAAACAAAAAGCTTACATTCTAGAAACTAAAATAGCACAGTTGGGGGGCACATGTACACCTGTGGCTGATTCACGTGAATGTATGGCAAAAACCACCACAATATTGTAAAGTAATTAGCCTCCAATTAAAATAATTAATTTTTTTCCCATTTACTTTTATTAGTTGGAGGCTAATTACTTTACAGTATTGTAGTGGTTTTTGCCATACATTGACATGAATCAGCCATGGTAAAATAATTAACTAAAAAAAAAAAAAATAGCACAGCCTAGCCCATAAAGCCCAAGTTCTCAAGCATATAATGTAGAGCCTAATTTTGCTGGTCTATGAAAATCTAGATTGATTCATTATGACTCTTCTAAATCAGACTGTTCATATTTGTAAATACCTTAAAACTTCACTACTTGATTTATGACCTACATTACTGAACATTATCAATTCCATGCACTCAATGTGATATGCTAACAGACTGTCATTTTTATAGAAATCAAAAACTTAATAACTACTCTTATTTGCACGCCCCCCCCCAAAGTGGAGTTCATATGTGGTCAAGGAGGTTTTGTGAACTCCCCAGCGGTTGTGCTTTATAGTCCGCATAAATTAATAAAAATAAATCCTAGGACTATTTTTTAAAAGCAGTATTACTATTAATGCAATACATATTTAAGACTTACAAAGAAAAGTAAAATAAATTCACCCACACGCCCATAATTCATTCACATATTATCACCAGACATATTTTCTCCCAATCTTTTCCATTTGTTCTCAAATAATGGCTCTCATATTATAGGAGAAAATAATGACCCGTCCTATACCAGACTGAGGTCAATGATAATGTTAGGAGATGAGGTTCACATTGAAGATACCCATGTAAAATCTGTCAAGTTACCAAGATTGTGGATCATGCCACAATCAAAACCAAAATCACTCCCTCTGTCCCCCTGCCCTGGTCCCTTCGACCTACTCCTTTATTGCCCATCTTAGCTAAGGGAGGTAAAATTGGAAATAGGCTAGGTTCTGCAAACCATGAGATTTGCCTTCAAATCTTGACTCTGTCAATTACAAGCTGCGTGATCTTGAGCAAGTGACTGACCTGAGTCCCTACTTCCTCATTTGTAACATGGGGGATATTAATACCTGCTTCATAGTTATTGCAAGGATTAAATAATCTGCTATGTCTAAAATGTCTGGTACAATGCCTGAAATGAAGAGATTTTATATTGATCAAAAGGAAAACTGAGGTGTCTAAAAATCATCAAAAAATCTTCAGTCACAAGTTCTCTAACTTTTTCAGTCAATCCCTATTTTATTGTTACAATGACTATTGGGCAGTTACTTTAAATATAAACATTAGACTGGGAAAAAAGCAACATCTGTTTGTCTATCAGTATATTTTAAGTGAAAAGTACACTAATGCCTATGTAGTTATGATTAAACCAAATGTGGACAGTTTAATAATAACACCTGTTACTGCAACAACTCCCCCCACCAACCCTTGCATTAATTTCCCCACGCCTATCAGCACACATTATTGTCAACCCGCAATGCAGGAGACCTGGGTTTGATCCCTGGGTCAGGAAGATCCCCTGGAGAAGGAAATGGCAACCCACTCCAGTACTCTTGCCTAGAAAATTCCATGAATGGAGGAGCCTGGTAGTTGCATGGGGTTGCAAACAGTCAGACACGACTGAGCAACTTCACTTTATCAGCACATGCTGTCAATTCAACCAATTTAAAAAACAAACACTCTCTTGATTCTATTCCCCCTCGTAGCTACAATCCCATTTCTTTCTTTCCCTTTAGAGCCAAACTCAAGACTTGCCCATACACGGCCTCCGAACTCTCTCCTCTGTTCTCCTTCGCATCCACTCCACTCAGGCTTTATCCACCAATGACACCACGTCACCAGTTCAGCAAATGATCAGTTCTCATCTAACATGATGTGTACCCAGCATCCACCTTTCTTCACCTGGATCCAGGTCGCCATTCTCCTGGGTTTCTCTACCTCTTTGGTAGGGAAAGCTCCTTGATATTCCTCAACCTCTAAACCTTAGAAACTCCCAAGAGCTCCTTCCTCAGACCTTTTCTCTCTCTGCTCAGCATTCACTGCCTTTGTGAGCTCATCTGACCTCATGTTACAGAAAAACCCCAACGAACTTTTTGGCCAACTCAATACTACCCACATACTGATGAGCCTCCACTTTACACCTTCACCTTGACCTCTCCCCTGAATTCCACATGTCTATATCTAACCACTTACTTGACTCTCCACCTGGCTCGCGGCTATCTAAAAGCTCTCTCAAACTCACACGCTCCAGACTGAGCTCCTCACACGATCCCCTAATATCTGCTCCATTCTCTCATCCATTTCCTAGTTGCTCAGACCAAACCCTGGAGACACCCTTGACTTGACTTTCACCTCCGACATTCAATTTATAACAAATCCTTATTGCCCCTACCTTTGAAACACTGATATATCTGGAACTTCTTTTCATCAACTCTACTGCGGCCACCCATTCTAAACCATTACCAACTCTCACCTGTCACAAAGAGCATGGTCCACAGAACTTCTCATTATTCTGAGTGCACAGCTCTTCAGCTTGGAGTATAAATTACACACACAGGCACTAAGTCTTTTTCCAATAATGTGTAAACACATTAATAATTGAAATAACAATTTTAAAAGCTTTAACTATTTTACAATGATGTTTATAAATATGGATGTCAAACAGCATAGAAAACTATTCCAAATTAAATAATTTTCCAGAACAAGTAGCTCTCACCAATTTATACAGAACAATCATTTGCTATGAATTAGTCATTACTTTAATTATATTTGAAGTTTTACCACCTTCAAATATTTAAATTATTTATATGATTTACTAGTAATGACAAGCTGCCTAGTTATTAGCAAGAATTCAGTCAATGCTCTGTCATCACTTCCCAAGACAGTAAATAAACTATATACAAATTTGAAAATCTGGAAGATTTAGGCAGGACAAAATAGAATCAACATTCCAGATACCAACTATAGGATTGTAGTTACTTACACTGTGCACTCCTAAAGCCTTCCAGACGGCGAAGCTGATCACACCGACCCCACACCAGGCATAAAGTGAGCCCCACCCCAGGGCTCGCAAGGCCAGGGAAGACCCGCTCTCTGGTAAGGCAGCTGTGGCCATACTTCCCTGCAATGAAGACAGAAAGGTTGAGGTAAAAATCATCACTTTGAAAGAATAAATATTTGAAGAGTGTTTGAAATTAATGACTCTCGGGTAAGCACCATGATAACGGGGACACCGGACCAATCCAAGTTCAAATTCCAGCTCTGCTACGTAATAACTGCATAACTTAAGTCACAATTTCTCTGACAAAACTGAGTGTGCAAGGCACTGTGCCAGAAGCCAGGCTAAGTACACAGAGCAACTTCTTTCTGACAAACACTTCGGTCCTGAGGTGGGGGTGGGGGTGGGGGTGGGACACAGAAGCCTAGAAGTTATGATCGAAATGGAAAGGGCAACCACAGAACAGCACACATGAACAGGGAATTATGCACCCAGAGGAGGACATCCAATCTACTCACAGGAAAGGGAAGTTCTACTGAATGTGGTTAGCTACTCTTCCATACCTCTTGTTTTATGAATAAACTGCGCAAGTGGTATTCACATACTAAACGTTTCTTTTCACTACTGACACTAATGATTAAATTAGACTGATCAGAAGGACCAAAGCCACATTTTGCCTTATACTGTTAAATGACCATTAATCCTATTTCTAAGTAAGATTAATTTTTTTATAACATTGCAGGACTGCAATCTCCCAGGGAGCCTGTATTTCCAAATACTACATAACAGTTAATAATTATACACGAAAAGAAAAGTGAAAAGCGTTAGTCGCTCAGTTGTCTCCAACTCTTTGCGACTCCATGGACTGTAGCCCGCCACACTCCCCTGTCCACGGAATTCTCCAAGCAAGAACGCTGGAATGGGTTGCCATTCCGTTCTCCAGGGGATCTTGCTGACTCTGGGAGCGAACCCAGGTCTCTTGCAGTGCATCAGATTCTTTGCCGTCTGAGTCACCAGGAAAGCCTCGATAATTATATATAGCTTTATATATATATAGACAGATAGATGTATGTATATATGGCTTATATTGCTCCCTTACTATATGACAAGCACTGTTTAAAGCATTTTGCATGTATTAATTCACTAAGCCTCACTCTGTGAGACAGATACTATGATCCTCATTTCACTAAAGACCAAGCTGAGGCAGAGAGAGATTAAACAACTTGTTAAAGGTTTCACAGCTTATAAAAGTTAGAGCACTTCAGCAGTCTGGCTTTATAGACTAACAGGAATTTGCCAGTCATTTCTCACTTCTGATTCTAAGTACAACACAACACAAAATGTAAATGAAAGTATCTTTTTAAGTGGAAACAAATCCACAGTGTAAATTAGAATAAAAACCATCATTACTTAGGGTAATTCAAATATTCACAATGCTGAAATAGACAAAGATGTGATAATACATATGGGTCTACTTGAAACCAACTATGGGGCATTCACTTATTCCCATAGTTTGAGCTGAATACGAAATATAATTTATCCTTTGAAAAAATTTTAAAGGAAACTGTACAATTTAGGAAATATTAAGAATTTATTATTTTTCTCCATAAGCCTGTCTGCCAAAACACATTAAACATCAACAAACAAAAATAAAAATTTTAACTTCCTCAAAAGCTGAAGCTTACTTTTTTCTGATTATATAATCACTGAGGAAAATTTGGTATGTATAAAAAATAGGATGAATTAAAAAAATTCCATCTTATTATCCAGTAAACCATGGTAAACATTTTGACATTTTAAAAACAAGTTAACACCACTAAAATGTTTTTAATCTTCAACTTTCATCCTCTCACAGTGTCAAGAACTCAAATATTTTTAATGGTAACACTGCACTGACATCATAATTTACTTAGCCATTCGTTATTAATATATACTAACTTCAGGTTTTTAAATTAATATTTTTGTATTAAAAACTTCCCTGTGCCTAAACACTTATCTACATTTCTGATAAAGTCCTTGTGGAAAATTCCTCAAAATAGAATTACTAAGTGGAGGAAGCATGACTATTTTATAAGCTGATAGACTGTATACAAAGTGTTTTTCAAAAGGTTGTACTAAGTTACAATGCTATTTTATGAGGGCCATTTCAAGCTAGCCAGTATCAGATGGTCTCAGGAAAACTATAAACACAAAAAAGAAACCTTTGAAATTTATAGAAGACTATTTATAACTTATATTTCTATTGTTACTGAGAATTACTATTTGTCCAAGTTATGAGCCAACGTTTATGCCTTTTGAATTGCATATTCATGTTATATACTTAAAGTCTTCTAATTTGTATATTCTTTCCATATTAATGTACTTTGAAGCCCTATCATATGTGCTGTAGTATTTCCCTAGTTTGTCTGGGTTTTTTTTGATGGGTTCCCACTTTCTTGACCAAGAATGGAACCCACACCCCCTGCAGTGGAAGTGCAGTCTTAACCACTGGACTATCAGGGAAGTCCCAGGTTAGTTTCATCTTTTTATTTTGCTTTTTGCTTGTCTGTTTTTGATCAAAGATGCATTCTAAAGATTTTAAGCTATTAAAACTTCCCTCATCCAAGTCAGTCATTTCTCTTTCCTTCTAGCTATATTTCTATTTAAAAAACTTCCTTACCCCTAGCTTTTTAGTTCATCTGATATTTATTTTAGTCCTGTTGGAAGCTGATAACTAAAGGGAATTTACTTCCCCATAGTTTAGTAACTGCCCCAGCACCATTCTATGGATTAATCCTTCTCCTCTCAAACATTTTTGAGAAAATTACATAGAGGTTGGTTTCTAAGCTATTTTCATACTATGAATTTTATACCAGAATCACATGGATGTAATTACAGAATCAGAAAAAGTCTTAATATTCATATTTACACCATACACATTCAGTTCAGTTGCTCAGTCATGTCCAAGTCTTTGCGACCCCATGAATCGCAGCACGCCAGGCCTCCCTGTCCATCACAAACTCCCAGAGTTTACTCAAACCCATGTCCATCCAGTTGGTGATGCCATCCAGCCATCTCATCCACTGTCGTCCCCTTCTCTTCCTGCCCCCAATCCCTCCCAGCATCAGGGTCTTTTCCAATGAGTCAACTCTTCACATGAGGTGGCCCAAGTATTGGAGTTTCAGCTTCAGCATCAGTCCTTCCAATGAACACCCAGGACTGATCTCCTTTAGGATGGACTGGTTGGATCTCCTTGCAGTCCAAGTGACTCTCAAGAGTCTTCTCCAACACCACAGTTCAAAAGCATCAATTCTTCGGTGCTCAGCTTCTTTATAGTCCAACTCTCACATCCATACATGACTACTGGAAAAACCATAGCCTTGACTAGACAGACTTATTGGCAAAGTAATGTCTCTGCTTTTAAACATGCTATCTAGGTTGGTCATAACTTTCCTTCCAAGGAATAAGCATTTTTTAATTTCATGGCTGCAATCACCATCTACAGTGATTTTGGAGTCCAAAAAAATAAAGTCTGCCACTGTTTCCTCATCTATTTGCCATGAAGTGATGGGACCAGATGCCATGATCTTAGTTTTCTGAATGTTGAGCTTTAAGCCAACTTTTTCACTCTCCTCCTTCACTTTCATCAAGCAGCTTTTTAGTTCCTCTTCACTTTCTGCCATAAGGGTGGTGTCATCTGCATATCTGAGGTTATTGATATACTTTTTATCAAATATTTCTTAAGTTTTTACCTATTCATTCTTCCAGAAAAACCCTAGAACATTTTGTCAAGAGTCCTTCCAACTCCCACTCACCCTATTCACTGACATTTTCATTAGAATGACATCAAACATTAGCTAACTGGTAAGAGAAAATCTGTAACATCCTGTCTTTCATCTGGAAATATATTTTAATTTACTCAAGTCTTTTTTTTTTCTTTTTAGAAAATTGTCTTTATATTGCTCAACCCATTTACTTTTTATTCAACCCATTCTTTTTTTTTTTCCCCAATTATTTTTATTAGTTGGAGGCAACCCATTCTTAACAAAGGTTTTGTGTTTTTTTAAGGCATGTATCTGTGATTGAGAACACTATTCACAGTACACAGAAACGATTTGTTTATCCGTATCCCCATGCTTTAAACCTAACAGATCTTATCTAAAGACATACTTCTTGCAGAAAGAGCCTGGTCCCGACCAGATTCTCAAGAGATTTTCCTTAGCCATTTTCTATGATGAAAACAATATACTACTCTTTTGTCTTATTCCTTTTCTCAGGCTGCTATAATTTCAGTGGTTCCCTAGACGCTACAGACCTCACATAAATACACTAACTTCTAACTGGCTTATTTCCATCCAGCAGCAGTATCATTAACCAATTATTATTACACCAGGCTCAATTTAGGTGCTCTGGCTTAAGTTTTATTTTTGAAACTTAAATTAAAAATTTCTTATTTCCCTGGGGACAAAAACTATATATGTTATAGATATACATAAATCTTTTTTAAAGTCTACATAAATCCACGTTTTGCTAAGTAAAAAAGGTAACGATGGGTTATAAATACAACCCTTAAAAACACAGCAATACTCCCAACAAAATCTTAGGTTTGCCAAACTTTCAGTTTTTTTTTTTTTAAAAGGTACATGCTGTATTTGTCTATCAGCCTCAGAAACTGACTGTGAGGGAAGTGAGTTATTATCAGCTACCGTCCATATACTCTAAAACCAATTTTAGTGGAAATGATGTTAACAATTGATTTGTTCTTAAGTTTTTAAGTCTAGTCATCAAGCTTTATCCACTGGAGTTATATGTCACATGGCCTTTATACAGCCTGCTCAGAGTTTTAAAAATGAACACTGACTGACTGGCAGCAGCAAAGACTGACTTGCCAAAAAATAATGTTGCTCTTTAGATATAACCACATATGCTAGTCACATATGTATAAATCAAAGCTGTATTTTTCTTCAGTACCACATTGTTTATTCTTTTCATTTAAATTAAAATGAAGGCGTGTGCACATGGAAGTTGAACTTAACAAATCATAATGTAGTTATACTTAATATCTAAAACAGGAAAATTATTTTCTATTATTTTGTACTTATAATACCTCTATGCTTAAATACATGGTGCCTTTTTTTATTCCATGTATTCTTAAGAAGACTTGATCTATTATTCACAGGTACAGAAACGATCAAGAACAAATTGTTCAGTTTTTCAGAAAGTCAACTGCTTACCTAAGAATAAGGTTCATGTTTTTAGTTCTGTTTTTTTCAGTTTAATCTTGGGATGAATCAGATACAAATCAAATTCTGATATTTAAAAAGAATGTTCAACCTAGCTATTTCCCCCACAGAGCATTCTTAGTTGATATATTTTGCTATATTCTTTATATCACAGAAAGAGCTGTGTTGCATTATACCAAAGTAAAGATATGTTCTTATAATTTCTCAGAAGTTATAGCTATATCAGAAAGATGATGACTCACTCTTTCTGTCCATTACCTAAATGGGTCTTGAAATAACTCAGTTATTTGAAGAATATTTAACTTCCAAAAGAGGATGAGCTCAAATTTCCTGGTCTCAGGATCCATTTATACTTGGATCCCAAAGATTTCTGATTATGTGAATTAAAATAACCATCCTATAAAACATTTAGCACAAAAAGAGGCAATGTTTTACATTTTTGCTCATCTTTTAAATGTCTGGTTTAACAAAAGGGCTTTACTTTCACACATGCATCTATATTCAATCTGTTGCGATGTTTTTTGGTTGAAGTATACAAATACTCAAGATGGTAAAGAATCCGCCTGCAATGTAGGAGACCCAGGTTCAATCCTCAGGTTGGGAAGATCCCCTGGAGAAGGGAATGGCTACCCCCTCCAATCTTCTTGCCTGGAGAATTCCACGGACAGAGGAGATTGGTGGGCTACAGTCCATGGGGTCACAAAGAGTCGGACACAATTGAGTGACTAACACTTTCACTTTTTTTTTTCATACAAATAAAATCTATCCTCACATAGGTATGTGATTGGAAAAGAGTATTTTAATACTCTTTGATATATCAAAGCCTCCCTTCTTTGATATATACCCAAACTCGACAAATAGATTCTTAAAAATGATCTGCAATATGGAATAAAAAATTGTATCAATAAATTGTTGCACTTTGTTACATTAAAATCCATTGGTGTATTTTTCATTTTGAAAGCAACTTTCATCCATGCATCACGATCACTCAGAAAATACTGACTTGCCAAAAGAAGTTATCTTTCAAACTCTTGACATCATTTATTAAATATTAAAATCACATCATTAACATCACTACCAATCTCAGAAAAAAGCTTCAGGTGTTTAAGCAGCTGGCACGCTCACAATGGCAGACACAGTTTTCTAAATTCAATTTTACCTATAAAGGGTGGAATTTTATTATCGACGACACATACTAACAATTGCTCGCTTGAAGAGGTTCATTTTGAAGAAAATGTCTACCTACTTCTGAATAACTATAGTTTGTCAGTTGCTCTTTCAAGTGAAAACAATATACCATGAAGAAAAAGTGGCTAGTTCAAACTGTAACTCAATCACACAAGTGCTTTATCTTGAGAAAAACATACTACTTTGGTATGATGCAGAATGCTTTATGTGTACCTCCCATTTCTTCACACAGACTATTAAAGAGGTTATGTTCAAGGGTCAAGATACCAAAAAATAATTTTACTGCTTCAACAAGGATATTCTTCTGCAAAGATGGCACTAACCACAGGTGCGCGGAAAGGAAGAACACAATGCCTGCCAGTACACCCTGGGGCCACTGCCTCAGCTACAGCAAGACACAAGCACTTTATCCTTTACTGTGTCTGTACCTGACGAAAAATGGATGCTTTTGAACTGTGGTGTTGGAGAAGACTCTTGAGAGTCCCTTGGACTGCAAGGAGATCCAACCAGTCCATCCTAAAGGAGATCAGTCCTGGGTGTTCATTGGAAGGACTGATGCTGAAGCTGAAACTCCAATACTTGGGCCATCTCATGCGAAGAGTTGACTCATTGGAAAAGACCCTGATGCTGGGAGGGATTGGGGGCAGGAAGAGAAGGGGACGACAGAGGATGAGATGGCCTGATGGCATCACCAAGTGGATGGACATGGGTTTGAGTAAACTCTGGGAGTCTGTGATGGACAGGGAGGCCTGGCGTGCTGCGATTCATGGGGTCGCAAAGAGTCAGACACGACTGAGCAACTGAACTGACTGACTGACCATTAGTGCAAGTGTCTTAGCAGTATCACAATAGTAACTGACTTTACAGAACCCCCAGAGGGTCTCAAGAATCCCCATAGTTCTGTGGGCCTCAGTTTGAAAATCACTGTGTTAGATCATCAAAGCCATATGTGGTATCAAATCTTAGAACTGCAAAATAGAATGCAAAGTTGTGAATGTGTGTTTTGTTTTTCTTTTTTTTCTGAGAGAGAATTGCTAGCTTTCATGAGATTCTCAAAAGATCTGTGACCCAAAGGTTATCATGTTAACTTGGATTTAGAAATCAACCAAAACTCCACTATTAAAGCATCACTATCACTGAGGTTTCACTGATTTCTGCCACAAGATACATATTTCTGCTCTGAAAATATTCTGTAACATAGGGAGGAAATGACCATGAAGTTCTTTACAGAGATTTGGAAAACTCCCTATGAACCCTGAGTATATTCAGAGGGGAAACCAAATGCACTTTTAATGTGGTCTCCTGCCATTCTTATGGCTTAAATACAATTATAAGATATTACAGATAAATACAAGTCAAAAAGGAATTAACTGGTTTATGATTTTTCACATAACACTTTTTCCAAAGAAAATATCAAATTCTAATTACATTGTTACTTGTGTGATTATTTATATAACATCTGTCTCCCACACCAGACCTAGCTTCCTGAGGGGTACATGTTCTGTTCATTTTTGTATCTCTCATACCTAGCTAGCACAGGGCCTGCACATAGAAGATCCCAAATAAACATTTATTGAAGAAATAAGTTAAGGGATAAACAAACCATAAGATGTAGGTAGGATAGAGACGAGACAATGCAGAAAAACAACCACAATGGGAAGGAAATTACTCAACTTGTCCATGACAGGTGATTGCTCAAACTTGCCCATGGAATTAGGATTTTCTGCCCTCAGCTGCTTATACTCATTCAACCGAAATTTATTGAACACCTACTACGTGCTAAGGGCTTCCCTGGTGGCTCAGTGGTAAAAAAAATCCACCTGCCAATGCAGAAGTGGGTTTGATATGTGGAGGAAGAAATGGCAACCCACTCTAGTATTCTTGCCGGGGAAATCCCGTGGATGGAGGAGCCTGGTTCGCTACAGTCCATGGCGGAGCAAAAGAGCTGCACACAACTGAAGTGACTAAACAACAATGTGCCAGGCAATCTTATAGGGAGTGGGGCTGCTGTACTACACAGCATGCATGGTTTCCAGGTTCAAAGAGCTGACCTATGTTTATCATCTATACTAAGATGCACTATATTTCAACATTTTAACATCTCTGAGCCAGAAACGCCTACTGCAGTGTAGTCTCAGAATTTAATTGGCTTTTTATTTTTTTAGTGCTACATACAATATGGAGCCTCTTACAACTGAGAACAATTTACCCAGATTTAGATTTAAAGTCAGGCTGTGAACAGGAAATGTATTGGAGGAGCTTTCAAAGTCTGGGTCTGCTAACAGTTTACAAGGCACATAATTACTTCTTTTTAGATGAAAATAAAGACAGTTGACTAATTTGTACCCTTCCTGAATCTACGAAGTCCACTCTGGTTTACTTCTTAAGAGTAATAAGAAAGGCCATCAACATTTTCTATTCAAAACAGCTGCCATTGATTTGTAAACAATAATTGTGCTATGAATGGATTTCCCTGTCACAAACCTTATTGAACCACTCAGGACTTTTCTTTTTAGCCAAGGACAATGTTGTGGCAAATCCAGCTAGCATTCCTGCTGCAGCAACAGAACCAAGGAAAATTCCACCTGTCGAGAGTTTTGGAGGAAGGGAATGGGGGGTAGGGAGAGAGAGAGAGAAAAAAAAAACAAAACAACAAAACCTGAAGTTAAAAAGATGGACACAAATAAGTTTCAGATACTATTTAAAAATCAATTTCGAAATTCGAGAAACGACGGCTAAGACGCTCCTGGCAAAGGTAAATGATAGGGGCTGTGAAACCTGCGTGGCCTCACGACCTCTGGTTCCTGAGGCCATTCTAGTGTACCAGTCCCAAGAGTACAGAATAGGCACAGGGTCTCTTACCCTTTCTCCCGGGGACGGAAAAAGAGACAGTGGGAGTTAGAGAGGGGGGTGCGGGGGAGACATGAGAGAAACTGCAGAGGGAACGGGATAAATGCAGCCTATACAGAACAGCTCGCGGGACCAGCCCACTAAACTCAGGGCATTCAAACCAAGGTCTCCCCGGGCAGCGTGTGCGTGGGAACGCCCGCTCCAGCGTAGGCTAGAGCCCCGGGTGAGCCTGCCCTGACACCCGCACCTCGCCACACCACACCTTTAACCAGGAAAAGCCGGTCGTCGGCAGACGCCGAGGCCTCCGGCCTAGAGGACGGCTCTGCTGCCCCGGCGTCCGCCGCCTCCATTTTTCTGAGTCTCGGTTACTGCGTCCGGTGCCAACTGGACCCGGGTGGAAACGAGAACGAGGCGGAGAAGAAAGGTTCCGCTGCCACCTCCCTCTGTGCAACCCGAATATCGGTCCGAAGAACGACCTCTGCACTCAAACCTTCTCTGCTGCCCTCTGGGCCCGGGCAGGGAAGATGCTGTGGCTTGCACTCTGAGGGGCGGTGGCTTCCACGGCTGTCTCACCCGGGAGGATCATTTGCCCGCTCCAAGAAGATGATCGCTGCGCTTCTACTTGAAACACTGCTCGGCTCTGACTCTAGGAGGCAGTGAGAGGTCGCAGATTGCTCCAGGAGCCTAGTCTCAGTCTGGTTAGAGACCCGGCAGCTCGGTTTCCCGATCGGCTTCACACTATGTCCAGGGATTTGGCTCAGTCTTTCCTCCGTACTTTGCTGGGAAATTTTGTAACCGTAAAGCTGTCACTTTAGATGTAAGTGACAGGGTGAATATATGTTTTCACTTCTTTGGGGGAAATACCTAGGGGTGGAATTGCTGAGTCAGAGAACAAACATATACTTAGTTTTGTAAGAACTGACTCATTTGAAAAGACCTGATGCTGGGCAAGATTGAGGGCAGAAGGAGAAGCGGACGACAGAGGATGAGATGGTTGGATGGCATCACCGACTCAATGGACATGAGTTTAAATAAACTCCGGGAGTTAGTGATGGACAGGGAGGCCTGGCGTACTGCAGTCCATGGGGTCGCAAAGAGTCAGACACGACTGAGCGACTGAACTGAACTGACAGGTTTTCTGCGTGGAAGACTGCCAGCCAGCCCGGTGGTGATGGGCTTCCTACCCCCACGGTGTAATTGATCAGCCATCCGAGGGGATTGGATGCTAACTGAAGTCAATGGCATAACCCCCGCGGGGAGAACAAAAGATCACCCCAAGGAGTTGCCAGCTTGGAACTTCAAGGCAGCCCTAGACCGCTCACCATCTGCAGCCAGCAGACAGACCTGATCTTCAGACTCGGGGGCTGGTTTGCAGACACGGGTGGATTCATTAAATGGTCACTGAGAGGAGGAGGCTGGTAGCCATAGAAAATCTTTTCCACCTCTCAAACAGAGACACCTGACGTCATCCTTGGGAAAATGAAGCAATCTGTCATTCTTGTTCATTCTGAGCAACAACAAAAGCCATGAACTTCTTGAGGATGGGAATGGAGATCTCTGTTCATTTTTACATGCCCCGGCTCTCAGGGTATTACCTGGTCATGGAAAATAAATTTTGGGTGAATGAGTAAGGGAATGCATCAATTAAAATGCAACTAATAGCACAAACCTGGGCTTAGGTCCTCAGTCACTTCTAAGTTATGTGAACTTGATTGAGGCTCATGTACCTCAGTTTCCCCACCTGCAAAATACAGAAACTGATAGTACCCACCTCACAGTATTGCTGTAAGAATTAAACGAAGCAAGGTAGGTAAAGGAGTTAGCATAGTGCCTGGTCCAGACACTCAGCATACCTTAGGTCTAGTTATTATCCCCCTCAATTCCAGTAGCTGTTTTTCGGCATTATGTACAGATATTTTTAAAAAGTATAGATGCCCAGGGCCTGTCACTGAAGATGGCGGCTCTGAAGGTCCAAGTAGGACAGATTAAAAGCTCAACAGGGCTTCTGATAATGAGCCAGGTTGAGCACTACTGCTCTGAGTTTCTGACTTAGAGAAATCTCAAAGAATTTAAACTTTGGATTCTTTGGAAGTACGGCATCAGAATCTGAAAGGGCTCTTTAAGTTGGCAAGTTCAGTTCAGCTAATTTGTTTAAGGTCAAAATCTCTGGGATTGGGGACTAGCAATTGGCTGTCAACAAAACCACACAGAAGAAGGGCTTCCCCTTACACACAGTGACCATACCCACTCTTAATAGCTAATTTACTGAGTGTTTTCTGTGCCTCTGGCATTGCCCTAAGTGCCTCAAATGAATTATCTCATTTGATCTTCTCCATTGTGGACCCCCCCCCCCCCACCAAATATTGCCTGTTGTTTCAGTAAACAAAAAATGTTGCCCTCCATCCAGCCATCAGTCACTGCAGCTGCCCCAATGGTGCACCCTGAGGCGAATTCAGATGGAGAAAAACAGTATACTAGCCCAAGATAGGTAAGGTGCATATCAAAGGAATGATTTCAATGAGCCAGTCTCTTGCATCTTCTCATATAAAGAAAAGCACTAAAATCAACTTGAGATGTCTTATTTTTTGTGATTAGCAGTAACCTTTTGATGTTCCACTACATATTTGTTTTTCAGCAAAAACTCGTAAATGTTCTGGCTTGTCCCTTACTTCTTTTGTAACAGTTCCTCAGAGCTATCTAAAAGACTGGCTTCCAGGCTATTTAGTCCTCAGTAAGGTCCTTAAGACATAATTCAACTTTTCGGTTATGCGTTTTCAGTCAACACCATAAACTCTGAAAAACTAACTTGCTCAACACATACAGCTGTTAAGTGGCAGAACCAGGATTTACAAGAAGCCCTATCAAGTCCTTATCCTCTGCCGAGGGGCCCTCAAGCTTGAGGTTGATAACTGGAAGCACCTGGAAGGGCTTGTTGACAATTAATTGCTATGCTGGGGGTACTAGGTCGCTCAGTTGCATTGGACTCTTTGCAATCCCATGGACTGTAGCCCACCAGGTTCCTCTGTTCATGGAATTTTCCAGGCAAGGATACTGGAACAGGTTGTCATTTCCTACATTAGGGGATCTTCCTAATCTGCTGCTGCTGCTAAGTCACTTCAGTCCGGTCTGACTCTGTGCGACCCCATAGATGGCAGCCCACCAGGCTCCCCCGTCCCTGGGATTCTCCAGGCAAGAACACTGGAGTGGGTTGCCATTTCCTTCTCCAATGCATGAAAGTGAAAAGTGAAAGTGAAGTTGCTCAGTCGTGTCCGAATCTTAGTTACCCCATGGACTGCAGCCCACCAGGCTCCTCTGTCCACAGGATTTTCCAGGCAAGAGTACTGGAGTGGGGTGCCATTGCCTTCTCTGCTTCCTAATCTAGGGATTTTCAAACCTGCCTCTCTTTCATCTCCTGCATTGGCAGGTGGATTCTTCACCACTAGCCTCACCTCGGAAGCCCTATCTCTGCCTTACTTACAGTTCATCCCTTTAAAATCCATATGAACAGACCAATGAACAGTACTGAAATCGATTCAGAAATTTTAAAACTCCCAACAAACAAAAAATGCAGGACTGCTTTAAGACTTGAAATTCTATTCTCACAAGACTATTTTTTTTCATTTATTTTTATTAGTTGGAGGCTAATTACTTTACAATATTGTAGTGGTTTTTGCCATACACTGACATGAATCAGCCATGGATTTACATGTGTTCCCCATCCCGATCCCCCCTCCCACCTCCCTCTCCATCCCATCCCTCTGGGTCTTCCCAGTGCCCCAGCCTGGAGCTCTTGTCTCATGCATCCAACCTGGGCTGGTGATCTGCCACTATGGAGCACAGTGTGGAGCTTCCTCACAAGACTCTTTAGAGAGGAAAAGTGCTGGTTCCTCAACTCTCCCCATTCTTTGCTGTTCTTTCCGCCCCCCAAAAGCATAGACATTTTTTTAATTTTAAGGATTACATTACTCTTTACTGTAAGAAACAGGAGAGAGGTAAAACATCTTTAAAAGTTACAGTGTCCAGGGCTCTGTAACCTGTGTCTCTTTTGAGATGGCAACCTCAGGCCCTGTGGGCATCTGTCTGTCTTTATTCCTGAGGATGTGGTTCACAAACTTCTCCCTTCTTTCTAACTCCTAAAAGTAAAGGGCAACTTTCCTCCTTCGTACATGAAAGCTTTTCCTGGTAACCAGAAGGCAGAGAGGCAATTCAAGCAAACCGACAGATACTCTTCGCCTTAGAGAGCCATTTGCATTTTGAAGATTCTTGTCAGATACACGCTTTGGAGAGCAGGAACTGAGACCTACTTGGACAAGGCGAGTTTTCAAGGGAATTACAACCCCATTCCTCATTGGCCCTAGCTTCCTGTTCCTTGTTCTCCCCCAGGCCTGGCAAACATGCCTGATAGAAGGATGAAGAGTCCCTGGCCCGGAGATTAGGCATTCCAGGCACCCCAAGTTAGAATGCTTAAAGACAGTGTTACCCAAGTTCTCATATTTCTACAGTGCCCACAGTTGGGTATTTCAGGTGCAATCTGAATAACTGGTCTGTTCTAGTATCCCTGAATCCTCATCTAGACTGGTTTCTATGGAAATGCAGGATACAAGCTCCAAACAGGAGACTTGCAAACATCTGGAACACTGTGTGTTTGTAAGACAGGGACAGTAGTTCTAAAAGAGCCAGACAGAGCATTTCCAAGTGGAAACCAGTGATCAGAAAGTTCCTAAATGGTGCACCATGCAATTCAAGCAGGGCTGCCTTTTCAACGGAAGTATGAGTCCCTTTCAGAAAAATGTCATAGAACGGTCTGGCAAGCAAAAGAGGCTGCTGGAAAAGCAAGTTCATCCAAGACAGACTGTGTTGCTATTTTGGTGTTAGTTTTTAGTCAGCTCAGAGTCCATACCAGTGATGCCTCTCACCACATTCTTATTTCAAACCTTTTGGCCCCTGTAGGTTCTATTTCAAATTTTGACAGCTAGGAACCTGTTAGCATTGCAGTTCCCAGAATTCGGGTAGCCCTAGCTCTAGCTAGTTCCAAACACTGATGGGCTTTCCCCTCCAACTATTAAAAGAAATATTTCTTGAGAACTTCAGTTACGCCCTATTTAAAGTATGAGGTTGAATTCTTTTTAAAACCTGATAAGGATCACATATTGGCCATGCTTCTCACTGCTTCTTGATTTAAGGTAGCTGTCAAAAATATAGTGCAGAAATCTTTAAAAATTATTGCCTAAGTAAGTGTCTACATTCCCAGGTGGCGCAGTGGTAAAGAACCTGCCTGCCAATGCAGAAGACGCAGGAGACGCAGGTTTAATCCCTGGATGGGGAAGATCCCCTGAAGTAGGAAATGGCCACCTACTCCAGTATTCTAGCCTGGAAAATTTCCTGGACAGAGCAGTCTGGCAGACTACAGTCTATGGGGTCACAAAGAGTCAGGCACAACTGAGTGACTGAACACAATACACAGAAGAAAAGATCCACTGGATCTTACACAGATCTATTAATGGAGGTTACCTTTAAAAGGGGGAGTAGAAACTTTTAAATTGTATGTCTTCTACTTTCTACCTTAATAAGTAAAGTAACTGAAGTGAAAGTTGCTCAATCATGTTCGATTCCTTGCAACCCCAAGCACTATAGCCTGCCAGGCTTCTCTGTCAATGGAATTCTCTGGGCAAGAATACTGGAGTTCCCAAAGTTACAGCCATTCTCTTCTCCAGGGGTCTTCCCAACCCAGAGATTGAACCCAAGTCTCCCGCCTTGCAGGCGGATTCTTTACCCTCTGAGCCACCAGGGAAGCCCCAGGGAATCAACACTTTAACATATTTTATAATGTTAAGCCATTTTCAACAAGGGACTTGTTACTTTTATGTAAACAGGAAAAA